GGAGACGTTTTTAGTGTCGTCGGGACTTTGGCCCAGGACCAAGCCTATCTTGTGCAGGATTTTACGCTGATTTTTGAATATGGTAACCGTTTTTTGCGGAATAGCCATTTCTCGAAAGTTATGAACGATTTACACCTCAAAACAGCCCAAAATCGGCTACTTCCGAGCCAGTCATAAAAGCCTTCGGAATAGGTTTTAAACAAAACCAGATAGTGCATCTTGTTCCAGAAAAAATTCTCCTATAAAAAATAAGCTATTTAACTCAAAAATGTTGAATTGTGAAAATTTTGTAAAATTAAGGGCCCTCAATTTATCAAATTTTCCAACTTTTCAATGATTTTGGAGAAGATGGTACATTTGATAGAGAAATTTTCCTGAACAAGATGCACTATCTGGTTTTATCTAAACCCTATTCCGAAGCCTTTATGACTATCGGAAGAGCCGATTTTGGGCTGTTTGGGTTTAAATCGTTCATAACTTTCGAGAAATGGGTATTCCGCAAAAACGGCTTACCATACTCGGAGATCAGCGTAAAATCTCCACAAGACAGGCTTGGTCCCCATGCAAAAGTCCCGACGACACTCAAAACGTCTCCTTGTTAGCAGGGGGCTTTTTAGCCGGGAAACGAATTGCTCATGGGTTTCTTATGGTCGCGTGGGGCTGTGGTTGGCTATTGACCTCTCACCCCTTTAAAGAAATAGTGACAATGATCGTATCGCATTTTTCCAGGCCCTAATCGCACACCAATATTGGGATCCGACAGCCTCGATTAGCGATGAACTACGAAGCGGAAATCAAATAAATTCCACTGAAAACTCAACGGTGACTGTCGGCGAATTGACACCGAAAATGGCTGCACCGGCACAGATGACGCGAGACGAATTTTTGGAGAAAGTACAGGTGCGTAGAAATAAATAACTTTCTTGTAAACGTACTTCCAGACAAACCTCGGCTGGTATGGGGCGGATCGTGGAGTATTCTGCGGGGATGAAGCTTGCTTCTACGTTAAGGACACGTTTGGCGGGGTTACTGTGGGGTGAGTGCCTTTTAGAAAGCGTATGAGATTCATTTAGTGATCGCCCAGTCCGGGGTATTTATATTTTCGGGTTTGGCACCGTCGCCGTTTCGCAGGCTATTTTGAACATCCCCGACGGCAAGTTTAATTTTTCTGGGATTTAAAATTACCAGCTAGTTTCATATTTAACGTTACGTAAGAAAACTATAAACTCTAAAAAGCCAAACCTTTTCCAGAATGCACCGAGGCCAACCTCGACACGGTCAGCTGGAGCATCAACAAAACGTTCGTCCAGCCGATCGGCTACATGTTTCCAGTGGTGGCCGGCATCTTCGCCCCTCCCAGGCACTACCAAATGACGGTCGGTTTTGAGAGGGATTAAAGGGGCTGGAAAGTCAACCTGGAAACTAGCCACCCACGGCGGCAAAACGCGACTGCGTGCCACGTTGCTTAGCTCATTTTCGGACGTTAAAGCGCGTGAATTTGCTAATTTTGATGCCAGTTTTGGAATCCTCAGACTATTTTAATTGTTCTAACTGTTTAACCTTTAACTTTGACTTAACTGGGTTCCCCAGAGCGCATTACGACTTGTAATTCCGCGCAAATGTCTGCCTTAACTTTTGCCTTTTTCTCAAATATTTGGCCTTGTTCGCAGCTAAATCGACTTATTGATGTTTCTTAGCTATCTCCCTTATTTTTCCGACGCAGCGAAAACGTTCGCTTTTTGCCTTCCTAGGCCCCTGAATCGTAGCCTCCGTTTCAGAAAACACCGATGGCAACGTGCTTTTCCTTGGGCTGGGCGGGGGGACGTTGAACAACCTGCTGACGGCCGGCTATCCAAATGTAAGTGGATTTTTGCAGATACTTTCGGCTTTTTAGCTAGCGTACTAAGCACACAAAAATTTAGATAAACGTGACCTCGGTCGACATCAACCCCGTGATGAAGGAGATGGCCGTGCAACTTTTTGACAATGTTGAGACCGAGAAAAATCACATTGTCATCGTAGATGGGGTGGAGTTTATGAGGGCTGAGATTGCGAGGGGTGAGTTTTAATGAGTTTCACTTTATAAGGTATATAAAGTAATATATAAAAAAACCAGTGGAAAAAGACCGCTTCGCGGCCATTTTCCACTGGACCCCGTCCAGGAATCATGAATTTGAATACCTTCTTCTTTTAGCCTGCGGCGCAAGAACCTGAGTAATGGCCCATTCTTCGGCCTGCGGCGCTAGAGCCAGCGTTCCGCTAGATCCTTTGAGCCTGCGGCGCTAGTTACTGGTTTTTCTCCAGGATTGGGCCTGCGGCGCGAGAGCCTGGACCAAGGCCCTTTTCTTTGGCCTGCGGCGCTAGAGCGAGGGCCAGGCCTAAAGCTCGCACACCGAGTGCCCAGAAATATGTTTAGTTGCTTAACTACCAAAAAGCAAAAAGTTGGATTGCCCAGGATCCGAACCCAAGACTATAAGCGTGGTAGACCGGGCGTAAATCCACTACACCACGGGGTAGATGGGAACAGGCGGCGGGAAACCCCTCTTCTGTTCCGGGGAATGGCCTGCGGGGAGCCACGGAAAAGGCCGACCCAATGCCCCGGGAGGGAAGCCTTTTTGTCACTTGACAAAATTAAGTTTTTGAGTCTGAATCTGCAGAAAATTTGTAAAGATAATAAGATGCGCGTGATCCCCACTATCGAATACATAACTGGTCCAAATTTCAGCCCGAAATTCCAAATGCGAATCGAGTTTTGCCCCGAACACCATGGCTGGTCCGCCCATTTTGTTGAGGATTTTACTATTTGCTTGTAAAAGTGTTAAATGGAGGAATTTCGGAAAACAAAAAAATGCGTTTTTGGCGAATGTGGTTCTCCACCTCCATGCCAAAAATCAGCTCGAAATTCGGCCTGACGGCCGAGAAACAGCCGTACAGAAAACAAACATACTTTTCTCGCTTATAGGATAGGATAGTTCCGTGTGTGTGTGTATGTATGTGTGCATTTGCATCAACTTCCGTCAGCGTTTCCAGTAGTATCTCAAGTAGGTGGCTACCAGGGGCATTTCGATACGTCATTAGGTGCGTAATGGGCTAGAGATGACTGCACACATATCAAATTTTACAAAATATGATGTTTTCGACATTAAAATTCAGTTTTTCATGGAAAAACGGACAACCTACTTTGTTAGGATCAAATTAGCATGCACCGGAAGTCGCGGTAGCCTATATAAAGGGACGGCAAGAGCATTTTTCAGTTTTGGTCATCCGAACCCGGGAACATTAGTGCAAAGCCAAGAATATCATTGGAGAAGACGGGGCCAGGGTTGAAAAGCCGCGAAGCGGTTTTTCAACCCTGGTATAAAGTAATTTGTATTAACCCATCAAAAAACTATAATTTATATTATGGTAGTTTTTAAAGGACGAATTTTCACTTCAGAAGCGCAGTACGACGCGATTATCGGCGATGTATGCTACAATAACGGCGATAAGCCCAATATCTGCCCGATCGATTTGTTCCTGGATGATAACGTTGCCGCGTTATATAAGCAGCTTTTGAAACCAACTGGTAAGGTAATTTAAAACTTAACGAGTTCAATAGCGGGGGTTTGACAACTTGTAAATATTTGATACATTTCTTTTCCCCCCCTTTTTCTAGCATTTTATATGGATTTCGAAGGGGCAATTAAAATAGTTAAAGTAGTAAAAACCTATTTTAATTAAATTATTAAATTCTGGTGGATACCTTATCGTTACAACGGGTTTTTTTAGGTTTTCTGGCCCATAATGTCGTCGCACGAGGCGAGCTGACGTTCCAGGATGAGATTATCACAAATGTGCGTTATTTTTAGGTTTATTAAATGCGCATAAAATATACTAATCTATACTAATATACTAAGTCAAAGATCTCCACCGTTTTCTAACAATAGAGACGCTAAAATCTATACCAATTCAGATCCTCGCCCTGCACAAGCGTCATTTCGGCGATGATAATTGCGTCATGTACAAGTGCCATTCGATTAGAAATTTTGTGAGTTACAAAAATAATTTTAATAAAGTAATAAATCCATATTATCAATCAATTTTCAGGTTTTAATGTGCCGACCGAGTGGTATGCCATCTTCTGAAGATTTTCAACGGGTAGAGCGCGAATTTGCCGCTAGATTCGGGTACCAGATTGTCGAGGATCCGCTGTAATCAAATTCTATGTACAAAACAATTGTAAATTATTATATTTGATGAATCTGATACGTGTATGCACCGTTTTTATTACAAAACCGAGCAATAAATCATCAACTATATCAATTTTATTGTGGTGCGGCTGAGGCCGAATTTAAAGGGCTGGTTCAACTTTTAAAGCTTGGGCTGGTACCTTGGGACACTATGGGCGTAGCGATACCGCGCATGAACCGTCCCTCATTACGACAGCTATTAGATAGCGGGGAAATGCGAGAGGCGCAGACACAAAAACGCAGCGCTAGGTTTATTGGCTGAATTAGCCCTTTAACTCGATGGGGAAAGGAGCTAGAGCTAAGATCTCAACGGCCCTAGCTGAATCGACTCTCCCGAGTCCAACCAAGTCAAGAGCAAAACTTAAAAACTTCATTTTCATATTTAAAAATCTATTTTAAAATACGGCATTTTTCGCGGCAACGCATTGCTCCTGTACACGTCTGAACATGCCTTTTGGGCATTCGCACCCTTGAAATTTCTCATTTACGGTGTTCTATGCCCCTGCCTGCCGGCTAAGTTCTTACAGTTGTCGTGGGTCCAAAATCGCTGTGAGCAGGTTAGCAGCTTCTTCCCAAGAATGGGGCTGTTCCTCGAAAAGACCCACGATAAACGAGTGTCAGGTGGCAAGCGCACTTTTTGTGTCGACATTATTGCCATTAAAGACATTGGGCCGTGACTAATTTTCTAGCAACAGATAATGGAGCGTCAGGTGGCACTCGCATAGGGGTTCGCTGTTAGCTAACAAGCTCATGGGCCAAAAACTGTGGCTTTTCCAAATGTCTTGATCGCTTTATCTTTCATCCTTCGCACTACTTCAAATTTTATGCTTTCAAAGCACTACCAAAACCATTTGATAAGTATGGAAAGAGGAGAGATCGGCACAATTCGAGGAAAACAACGCTCATTTTGCTCTTCCGGCCGTGAAATCGGCCTCCAGCTAATAATTTATCGTGCAAAAAGGCTCCTTAGTAGGCTATTTCGGGAATCCAGTTATTTTTTCTGGTTGACCGACTATGGCCTAATCGACCAAATTTGCTACTTATCTTTAAAACTCGAGATATACCACTTTTAAAGCGATCCTTTAGTTAAGATCGTCAACTTCGAGCTCGATTATTTTGGTCCTCCAAGCGGATTTTGAAAAAATAAATATCGCTATCGTATTCAGAAAATTTTTCTCTTTCGAATAAATCCTCTGACTCAAAATTTTTTGAAACTCGAAAAATTGGAAAAATTGACGATTTCGTTTTTTTTTGTTTGGGAAACAGGGAAAAATAGCCTACTTTAATCAGCTGTAAGACGTCGTCTAGACGAAGCCTACCTTAATGAAATATACCATTCAAATCAGAATAAAATTCCCTATCAGATAAGCTACTTTAAATAAATTAGAACTGCAAAATAGAAAGTAAGGCATCATGGCAAAACCCTGCGCGGGGGCGAAAATCGACACTAAAGCTTTTATCTCGTGTTTTAAAGATTAGTAATCAATTCGGACAACGAGGTGATGATCAGTGTGATCGATTCTATCTGTGTGCAAATTCTCAGTCAATTCAGAGCCCGGGTTTGTTCGGGCTCCCCTAGTCAAAGCGAACATTCCAGAACTCTGGAAAAGCATTCAGAAATGGGCATACGCCATCGCCCATGGCTTGCGATCTATGCGATGACGCTAGCCCTGATCCAGCAGGCGATAACCGTGCCCATCGACATCACCACTACCTCCGATCCGACGATTCACATCCCGATTCTGGCTACACCAGCGGACGCGACCGACAATCGTACGATTCACGTCCCGTTTCTGGCCACGACCTCGGATCCGACGATTTACATCCCGCGTGTGGGTACAACAACAGCCACGACTTCGCTCCCCAACACGACCTCGGATCTGACGATTCGCAGCCAGGTCCTGGTCACGACAGTGGCCTCTCTGCCCGACACGGCCGCGGCTCCGACGATAAATATCCCATCTTCGGGTACAACAGCGGCCCTGAATTCGCTTCCCAACACGACCTCGGATCCGACAATTCACAGCGAACTTCCGGCTACAACAGCATCGTTCTTCAACACTACCACCGGTTCGGTGATTGATAGCGAAGTTCGGGCTACAACAGCGCCCACGACTTCACTCCTCAACACTACCCCCGGTCCGACGATTGATAGGGAACATTTGGCTACAACAGCGACCCTGAATTCGCTCCTCAATGCGACCTCGGATCCAACGATTCACAGCGAAGTTCTGGCTACGACTGCACCTACGACTTCGCTCCTCAACACGACCTCCGTCCTGACTAGTTACAGCAAATTTGTAGCTACAACAGCGCCCACGACCTCGCTGGGGTGGCATGATTTCGGTTTACGGAAGTCTGGAGGTGAAGCTGCGCTCGAAAAGTGTCACCAACGAGGTGATTATGTATGTCCAGAAAGCGACGTCGATGCTAGAAGCGGCGTCGGGGGGCGTCAAGACGTTTATGAAGATGGTCCATAGTTTGAACAGACATTGGGCGTTTCAAGCAATCACCAAGGTCAACATGGTGACTGCCGCCATGTCACTGATCCTCGAGGTGGTCGGGCCGGACCCGTTGGAGGAGCAGTGCCAACGCGATCCGCGCGGAAATCCGTGCAGCCGTTGACGTGATGATCAAGGCAATCAAGGGCTCAACGGACCATTTGGCTCACCTCATCGGCTCGTCGGCATTCAGGGTAAATTTTTAATCGGGGTTATCTGGCAAAAATGGGAAGGGGATTCGGAATCGGCGAAAAACTGTGCACAAGATATGCTGGGCCCGACATAAAACGCCACCTCGGCCTCACAAGGAGATGTTTTTGTAGCGTGAATTGAGTTTTGATTCGACACCAGGCCTATTATGTGCAGAATTTTGCGCTGATTCCGACCTTGTCTTCAGAATCCGCAAAAAATGAAAACTGGTCCGGAATCAGAACAAAATTCTGCACAACACAAAAAACTCTCCTTGTAGCCGCTGGCGCTTACAAGGACTTTTTCTTCTTTTCTCTTTCACGGTAGGCGCTCAGCAATTTTTTAAGATCAAACTTACTCCCAATTTCTTCGATAGAGTGGGTTATACAGTAATATAATAATCCTACCTTATATAATTTTGGCGTGTAACTGTGTGTGTGTGTGTGTGGATGTCACTTTCGAGACCCGATTTGAGGGCCTTCCCGCGCATAAAATGCCCCAATTCTTCGTCACCCGGGGGAATCGACCCTTCTGTTTCCGATGACGTTCTCAGAATTTCGATAAAATACAAGTTTACAAAGTTAAAGCCGGTTTTATTCATTTTTGGGGGTAATTTGCATAATGTGAAAAAATCGAAATTTCCTCATTCTTGCCAGTTGCAGTCGCGCGTGTGGTTGGGGGTCCGCAGGACCCGAGCTATCAGAAAGTCAAACTTTTTCATGCAAGGCCGCATTCCAGCGCCCAAGGCCCGCGAGGCGGGTTTTGGGCGCTGGTTCCCAATAAAAAACACCTTTTCTAACTCGACGCAGAAGTCTTGGATCGGAACGATAGTTACACCATTTGAAAGCCCTTGAAACGGTGATTTTGCAACAGTTTTCAAAACCATATTTTTATTTAAATGCACCATTTTACAACAAATTTAAAAACATGAAAGGACGGCCTCTGCAACTAATTACCGGGTACTTCCTGTCATTTTTTATGGAGAAATTGAGACAAATTAGCCCGTTTGAAACCCCGAAAATGCGCAAAATATTACAAAATGGCTTGTAAAATAGGGATTTTAATAAAGATTTTGAAAATTGTTGCAAATTCGCCGTTTCAAGGGCTTTCGAATGGTGTAACTACGATTCCGATCCGATACTTCTGCGTCGAGTTAGAGGGGGTGTTTTTTTTTATTGGGACACCCTGTAGTACATCACGAAGCACGAAAGCACCTAAAAACGATGTTGTTCATTCCGGTCGGGTTAACCCCTAAATCACGGAGACTGAATGCAAATCCTCCTTTTTCCAGGGCGAGATTACCGATCCGATAAGTTTGGGGCTCTACAACTTGAGGCAAATGTCATTGTCGAGAAATACGGAAACCGTCGAGGCATATCGGCTTTGGTGTCGCATGACGCCACCGGTAGCGTTGGCCAGTCGAATTCTGTCGAGGATCAACGGCGCCGACTCCATTATGCGCTCATTTCTCAAGGCGAACAACTATAATGCCCGAGTTTATCACACGTTCGAGGTAATTGAATTTTCCGGTTGTTACGTTGTAATAGGCGATTTCACCTACCGTAGTCTTCAAACGTATACAAACTCAAAACCTCTACCTTCAGGTCGACATTCTACGGCATGTAAACAGCCTGGACCTACTCGCTGCCAGCTGCGCCTCCTTCCAGGTCAGCTTTTTGATGCAGGCATGTAGTAGTTGATCAGATGCAGTGACCAGTCCTTAAAGGGGCTCGGAAGTCAAAATTCGCGCTTGGGTGGGGGGGGGGGATTGAACCGACTGGTCAAAAACGAAAGGGTCACTGCCGCGAAGTACCAGAAAAGTGATTTCGTTGCGAAAAAACGTAAAATATATGATTAAAACCAAAAATTCTCCGGTGAAAACGACTTTTTGAGTGAGCGGCGATTACATTTCGTAATGCTTTGTAAGGCACCCAATCTCTCGATCTCGGCTATTCTTGAGCAATTTTCATGATTAGAAAGTCTAGAATGATTAAAATTCGATGAGTATTCCAGAAAAAGCGTCAGAATTTTTATATTCAAGCGTTTTCAAGTCCAAACAGGGGCAAAAAATCATCGGACGCGGTCGCGTTGCGGTCGCATCTGGCTTTTTGCCAGGAATCAACGCAGGGGCCCGCGGACCAGATTTCCGAGTCCCTTTAACATTTTAAAATTCGTTATAAAATCGCGGGTTTGGATAAATACTTGGTTTAAAGATTGTTGCAACCTCCCCCATTTCACGCGCTTTCTAATAGTTCGGCAAGGCTGCATAACAAAAACCCAGCCACGTTTTCAGGAAGAGGGCGCAAGGAAGGTGATCTTCGACGATCTACTCGCCATCGAGAAAGTGATCGGGCGCCAGTTGGAGATCGAGGCGGAGGAGCTGCGGGGTTTTTGGCCAGATCTGGCGCGAGCTGACGTAAAAAAAGCCATTGATCAGGGCGGAAGCAACGCCGAAATCGCAGACCGTGCCTACAAGAAGTTGAGGTAAATCCTAAAACTTGAACCTGCTGACCAAAAAACGAAAGGGTCACTGCCGAGAAGCCCCAGAAAATCGATTTCGTTGCGAAAAACGTAAAATCTTTGAGTAAAACCCAACGACTTTTTTGCAAAAATCTGAGTGCGCAGCGATTACATGTCGTAATGGCTTCTAAGGCGCCCAACCGTTGGATCTCGGTAATTCTCTGATCAATCTTCATAATTAAAAAGTCTAGAATGATCAAGATAGCTTGTGGATTCCAGAAATAGCGTCAGAATTTTCAAATTCAAGCGTTTTCAAGTCCAAACAGTGGCAAAAGATGGTGCGGCGCGGTCGCGTGGCTATTTGCCAGGAACCAACGCTGAGCGGTGCAGACCAGATTTCGGAGCCCCTTTAAAACTCCTCATACTTTTAGCGAAACCTACGAGAGCAAATTCGCCGTGATCATTTACGATGAGGCGGACAGCACCTGGACCCACAGCATCTATGGCAGACCGGATTATGTGCTCTCGGAGTGGCTCTACAACGGCCATAATTATGTTGTCTACCACGATAGGGGGCAAAATCGCTCGGAGGCGATCATTGACGGAATTAAGGAAATGCATGTGAAGGCGGCCAAGTCAGGTGGTGCTACGGCTTTCCTGCCCGTGCAACTCTCACACTGGATATGGGACAATATCGGAAGCACACCGAATTTTATTCTTTCGATTTCCGCGGCGAAAAATCCGCAGGTATGTGCGTTTGGACTTGTTATCATTCTGCCGAAAATCGTTTTGTCTAAATTCTGTTTGTCGAAAATAATTTTATCGAAATTCCATTTTGACGAAATTTGATTTTGCCGGAATTTAATTTTGTCTAGTCGATTGTTTGACCAAAATGTCGACTTTTTTAAAAAGGTTCGGCCAAAACGTTCGATTTATTTCAATTATTTTTTTTTTGCTTAAAATATAGCCTTTAGTATAGAGTTTCATATTATTAAAAAAACCAAATTAATGACAGAAATTACAGGTGCGCTATCATCGCGATATTCTGTTTTACACGGCGGACTACAAGCATTACATGGTTGGCTTGGTTTGAGGCCGGTTTTGGCCAGGATTTCTAGTTTGCATTCGGGCCTCTTTCGAATGGCATTTTCAAAATGCCGAAAGTTTTTATGTTGTAGCAACCCTATAAATCGCTTTTTTCGTTTGAAATTAGTTCTTATAGTATACGGAGTGTTCGCAACAAAAAACACCCGCTGTAACTTGGCGCAGAAGTATTGGATCGGAACGATAGTTATAACATTGAAAAGCTCTTGAAGCGCCAAGTTTGCTGAAATCACAAAAACCATATTTTGATTTAAACATGCAATTTTATATAATTTAGAAACTGAAAGGAACGGCTGATGCATCTCAATAGCCGCTACTTTCGCTCATTTTGCTTTGCCAATTGAAGCAAATTGGCTCGTATGCAACCCTCAGGACCGCAAAATGTTTACAAAATAGCCGGTAAAATAGCGGATTTAAATAAAAACATGGTTTTGCAAACCGGCCATTTCAAGGGCTTTCGAATGGTATAACTATCGTTCCTATCCGACACTTCTGCGTCGAGTTAGAGGGGGTGTTTTTTCTTTTAGTACCCTGTATTTTTTAAGTTATATCGATTAGCATTTTCAAAAAGCTCGGTTTCGACTGATTTTTATTTATGGTATGGCTCATTTTATTATTAGTTGCTTATCAGTAATAAAATAAATATCTAGAAAAAAAACGATGCAGATCTTTGAACACGTCGAGAAAAAAGAAATCGAATATAGCACCAAGAAAAAGCGGGGGGAAACAATTGCACAGGACTGTACAAACCGGCATCGAGGGGATGAGCATGGAGTCAAAGGGTCAGTGGATGTAACAAAAATTATAGTGGTATAAAAATTATTAAAAAATTAGCTAAGATTTTTTAACCGCGGTGTTCGGGGTCCTTGAAGTAACTTTCGCAGTACTGCATCACATGCTGGATTTGCTCGCAGGTCGCGTCTCTGAAGCATTGTTTTAATAAAGATCTATATTTTTGTTTCATACAGTTATTTTATTTAATGACGTTATTGTAAACTTCTATGGCTAAAACCTTACCAAGCCGAACTCTCATTGAGTTTGGGCGGTAATTATCCACAGTTTTGGCTCTTTTAAAGTCATTTAACGCCGTGTTTATAAATCTATTTAATGTATTACTTTTTTTAGCGCTTTTTAATTTGCTTTTTAATGAATTTATTATAACATTTTAGGGCTAAAAGCGTTTATTAATAGATTTCATAGTTTTTAGACGTTCTTTGTCGCAGTGTTTCCCTTCTGTAAAGCTATTTAACGTCCGCTTTATAATGCCATTTTATGTCAATTTTTCCAAGGTATTAAATATATTTTCGGTGAGCTTTTCCTAAGCTTTTAAAGCTCAAAAAGATTTAGATAGCAGAGCCCGGCATCTTGGGCGCCCACTGCCTTGCCGCTCTCCTCTCTCTGCCACTCACCCCTTTGGGTGCCCGCCCAAAGGCCCTCCCCCACCCTTTCACCCCCACCCGACCCCCGTCCCTCACCGCCCGGTTAGCTCAGTCGGTAGAGCACCAGACTCTTAATCTGGTTGTCGCGGGTTCGAGCCCCGCATTGGGCTTACTTTTTGCTTTTTTGCCGAAAAAGCTTGTGGATGGGTAGTGGGCGTTTTGCATCTGCTATTTTTGCTAAATTGAAGGCCTTACTTGTAGAATGCCGAGATGAAGCCGCAGTTCATTTTGGCGAAGCCCTTGATGTCCTCGATTCCGAAGGCTCTAAAGATTTTTAAAAGTTGTAATGCGTAGTGGTTTTAATCGTACCTGGACGCCGTTCGGATGGAGGTGCAGATTTGGTTTAATTGCTGGAAGGTGAGATCACCGCGTTGGCCCATACGTGGATCGAGGATTCCCTGAAAACATCTCAAGATTATCAGTTAAAAATGGTACCAACTCTGAAAACGACTGCCCCGAAGATAAAACCCTAAGTTGCAAAAAACGGACCCTTTTACGCACGGTAGGTGTATATTTTTTAGCATATTCCGTCGAGAAATCAAATAATTTTGAAAAACCTACAAACATATTCCCCTGTCCTTGTCCTCGTGGCATTCCAGGTGGGAGACCACCGGGCGGCATCATGCCCGGCGGCATCTGGAAGGGATTCGGGAATGGGGCCGGGAATTGCTGAGGTTGAGTGGGCGCCGCTGGTTGGGGTTGAACTTGGGGCTGGACGGGCAGATATTGGGGCTGTTGCACGGGTTGTGGTGGTGGCATCGTTCGGGTGGGTAGAGGGGCCTGAAAAGAAGCGGCTAAGGCTTTTGGCTTATCTTGGCCTTAGCTTAGTCCCAGCTTAGGTTTAGCTTAGGCTTAGCTTAGGTTTAGCTTAGGCTTAGCTTAGGTTTAGCTTGGCTTAGCTTAGGTTTAGCTTAGGCTTAGCTTAGGCTAACAAGGAGACGTTTTTGAGTGTCGTCGGGACTTTGGCACGGGACCAAGCCTATCTTGTGGAGAATTTTACGCTGATTCCGAATATGGTAACCGTTTTTGCGGAATAACCATTTCTCGAAAGTTATGAACGATTTAAACCTCAAAACAGCCCAAAATCGGCTAGTTCCGATAGTCATAAAAGGCTTCGGAATAGGTTTTAGACAAAACCAGACAGTGCATCTTGTTCAGAAAAAATTTCTCTATCAAATGTGCCATCTTCTCCAAAATCATTGAAAAGTTGGAAAAATTTGATAAATTGGGAGGCCCCTAATTTTACAAAAATTTTCACAATTCTAACATTTTTGAGTTAAATAGCTTATTTTATAGAGAATTTTTTTCTGAACAAGATGCACTATCTGGTTTTGTTTAAAACCTATTCCGAAGGCTTTTATGACTATCGGAAGTAGCCGATTTTGGGCTGTTTTGAGATTTAAATCGTTCATAACTTTCGAGAATGGCTATTCCGCCAAAAACGGTTACCATATTCGAAATCAGCATAAAATTCTGCACAAGATAGGCTTGGTCCCGTGCCAAAGTCCCGACGACACTCAAAAACGTCTCCTTGTAAGCGTTGTCCAATCCTATGCGTATACTTACCTTGCTTAGACTTGGCACAAGCTTCGCTCAGGCTTAGCATAGACTTAGCTTCGCTTAGCTTGGACATAATTTAAGCTTAGCTTCGACTAACTTAATTGTGCCGGCTCGGGCTTGCT